AGGCCGCGGCCTCTATGGGGCTAGCCATCCCCATGCTTGAGGTATTCTCACCCCACCCCAGACCAGGTGGCAGAACCAGATTGTCAAAACCTTACGGAAGGCCAGGAGTGTGGGGGCTAATCGCATCTCTGGGGGCAGGATGTTCCAAAGAGCAGGGGCTACCGCAGAGAAGGCCCGCCTTCTGGACCCCGCCAGTCGAAGTACTTTCACTGAGGGGGTCCGAAGCATGCCCTCTCTGTGTGATTGGGTGGGACGGGTTGAAGTCATAGGGGAGAGGCGGTCCCTTAGATAACCTGGTCCCATGCCATGTAGTTCAAAGCATGAATAATGAGATCGCCTCTCATTTTATCCCTACCATAATCTCATGAGGTAGGTTGGGTCAAATGGGGGCTAGAACCCGAGTTCGCCATCTCAGTCCATCGCCTTAACGCCCACAGCTTCCTTTGCCAGCCCGGGGTGAAAGTGCTCTTGAAAGGGTAGCCGTGGGGCTCTCCCTTGGGGCAAGGATTGCTGCCCTCCTCTGGGCGTCCGTCCCCCCGAGGGATGGCCTCAGGGGTGGAAGTAGCTGCTTGGGCTGGGCTGCTCCAGCCTCTCGGTCTGCTCAGTCGCTGGCAGCGGCGAGCACCAAAGGCTCCTGTGTGTCAGCGGCCGCAGCTGAGGGGTCAGTGCGGCTGGCTGCACGTTGGGACTAACAATGCCTCGTCTTCCGCCCTGCTTCTCCCATCTGCAGGCTTACCTGCACTCCATGCGCATCATCCACCGAGATCTGAACTCCCACAACTGCCTGATCAAACTGGTGAGCACTCGTTTCTTTTGGGGCGCCTTTGGCTAGGCCTGCTTCCTTGCGCACTTGCCGCAGTCATAAGGGACTGGCTTTTGGGGCCCAGCACCTTAGGGGGTGCTTTGGGGTCCAGCGACTTCCCCTAGGAGAGCAGCTCAGGTTGAACTTGCACGATGCTCTCACAGTGGGAAAACTCACCTAACAACACGGCAACCGTTAGAGAGGAGCCAGTGATTGTTTTCTCAACCCATCATCAGTATCCTTGAGAATATTGCGGCTTGTGGAACATACAGTTTATGAATCCAAGGCCATTCATTGATGTAACAGCTCCAGGAAGATATGAATGATGAGCATCAGAGGTCATCCTTTGCTCTTCCAGGGTCCCAGACTTGTATCCCCTTCTTGTTTTTTTAGTTGTTTTAATGCAAACAAAATTTGTAAAACTCTTTGAGTACCAAGGAATGGAGAAGGCCTAAACTGGAGGTTTCTTAATTGCTTTGTGTGCATCTTGGAGGACGCAAATGTAATTTAAATACAGTTGAAAAACCTTTATGCCTGAGAACTAAAGAACTGGGAGCAGGTCAAAAAGGTTTGCGGGGCTGGGGCAGCTTCGGCTTCCAGGAGGCGGGAGCCGTTTGGAGAAGGGCCAGGAAAGCTCTTGGGCCCCTGAGCCCTGCCGATGCCAGTTGCAGTAAATGCGTTGCTCAGGCCCTGGTCCAGCGGTGTCTGCCCAGAAACGTTTTCTGAGAATTCGTGCTTCCTCTGCCATAACTGGTCCAGAGCTTCCCCAAAGGGCTTTCTAATCCTCATGGACTTTGCTTCACCTTTGGCCCAGGACAATACGGTGGTGGTTGCTGACTTTGGCCTCTCCCGGCTGATTGTGGAGGAAAGGAACAAGCCCTCCCTGGAAAAGCCACTGGCCAAGAAGCGCACGCTGCGCAAGAGTGACCGGAGAAAGCGCTACACGGTGGTTGGGAACCCCTACTGGATGGCCCCAGAGATGCTAAACGGTAGGAGCCCCCTGCCCCTGGCGTCACAGAGGAGTCAGCAGAGCTTCTCGCCATTGCAGAGCCCAACTGCCAGGTCAAAGTGTCTCTTTTGGTTGTGTGCATTTTGCAACGGGCCTGTCCTGCCACGGGCTCTGCAGTGGTGTGTGGGAATGGCCTTGGGAGACAGGAGGAAGAGCCGCAGCCTGGGCAACAGTCTGGCAGCCCACAGAAGGAACGGGGGCAGAGAGAGCGGCCCGGAAGGGACCCTCCCTAGTTTTCTGGAAAGTAAAAGGAAAGGAGGGGAGAAATGCTTTCCGGCTTGCCAGATTCTGTTGCTGTAACCTTACGATAAAGGTCGTGTGCGTACTCACGGTTGGTACTTCTAACCGGGACTACCTCGAAGGGCTGACAGGCTCCTGCTCCCCTTCTCCTCATTCTGTCCCCCCCATTTGATGGGGGAAACACATCCACATGCTGGCTGTCGGCCTGATGTTCTTTCGTGGGTCGGACTCCTGGAAGGGGTGCCCGGGTGCTGGTGGGGAAGCCCCCTCTCCCCCTCCTCCCATTACAGGCTGCATGGAGGCATCCCCCGAAGGCTCCGAGAGCTCTTTGGCAGCTGGATGCAGATGTGATGCTTGCACACACCCCGTAGGACAAGACACACCTGCTCTTCCGTGCTCCCTCCTGTGTCCAGTTGCCCCAGCACCCACATGGGCTCTTGTCCCCGCTGCCTCTGTTTTAATGACGCGTCTGCTCCTGGCGGCTGTTTCATTTCTTGCAGGGCAGAGCTACGACGAGACGGTCGATATCTTCTCCTTTGGGATAGTGCTCTGTGAGGTAAGCCCAGCCCGTTGGGGGGCCGAGGGGGGCCTCGAGCATCGGTCCTGCCCAGGCAAACGCACTTTGGGGGATGCACTGTCAGGCTAGAGGCAAAGGGCAAGTGTGGGTTGCCCTGCCCTTCGGACTGTTCAGAGGAGGGTTTGGTGGCCAGCTGTGAGATAAGGGTTGGCCTCTGGTCTGGGCTGTTCGACTGAGTTGCAGGCTTGCTGTTCCTCTCCAAGGGCTGGCCAGTGGTTGCCCAGGGCTCCTGGCCTTTTGTCCCACCTTTTCAAACCATCAGTCTTTCTTGTGTGGACGGCAGTTCAGAGCAGCTTGGTTAGCGGGCCCAAGGCAGCGGTCGTGGGGGCAAGTTTTCTCCCCGTGCCAGGAAGGCAGGAGGAGAAGCAAAGCCCCTCTGGGACCCCGGGCCGAGGGACGCTTTCCTCTGACAGGTTTATTGGGGGTTCTCTCAGAGATAACGTAGAACTGCACCTGCAGCACACAAATAGGAGTTTTTCCATTTCCATACTTTTCTTATAAAGAGATTGTAAGAAATTATATTTCTTACAATTTTTAATCTAACCCATTACCTAGCAACTCTGTAACTTTGTATAAATAGCATCTTTCTGTATCAGAGATAACAAACCGACAGTTTTTTACCACGGTTTATTTTTCGTCAATAAAAGCATCAGGTCTTTCCATGTCTCCAAAAAAAAAACCAAAAACCTGGTTTGGATCGTCCTTTTCAGAGGTGTAACAAATGGGCCAATTTTTCTGTCCACACAATACATCAAAGCTTGTACTGATTCCTGCTTCCAATTTTTTGTTACCACCGTTCTTGCCACGAATGAGGTGTGTGTGTGTGAGGGGGGCAGCCATACAGATCCACTAAATAAATAAATGGTCAGCATATAAATACGCCATCAGCTCTTTAGATTGTATTTGCTTGTCACCTGCAGTGAATATTTCCAACAAAGCTAGCAGTGGGTCCATTTTGAATTCCTGTTTGATTATTTTAACAATTTTTGTAAATACTAACCACCCCAAACCTGCAATTTCTAAGCCCTAAGCTAGCTAGCTAGTTTGTTTGTATGCCACCTTTATATATCCACCATAAATGAAAACATGCATCTATTTTTGTGGCAGTTATTCCAGCAAAGCGTTGATCTAATTTTCTCTTCCTGCGGGGAAAGGATGAGAAAATAATAGGCCTGGAAATTCAAATCTCGTGATAGTTTGAAGGTTGTTTTCTCAAACGGAGTCCAGTCCAGCTAATGGCCAAATCTCGTGCTCCAATAAGAGAGCATATATTCCGACGGAGGGAAGTTGCACAGCCCTGAGCCGTGCGTGTCAGTAGGGACGGCTGTGGCGACTCATCTGCTTAGCAGAAGCCAGGATAGGGGGAATAAATATTGTGGCGCACAGTGCGAGCTGCCAAGAGGGACCCTCCTTTTCCCACCAAGCCTTGGGGTACTCGGGCACTTGCAGGTTGCCTCACAGGTAGGCCGCGGGCTCTTTCTTGAGGAACAGGAGGGTCAGCGGAGGCCCTGCGTCCGGGGCCTGCAGGGGCTGGTGTGGAACGGCTCTGCCTGTCTCAGATCATAGGACAAGTGTACGCGGACCCAGACTGCCTCCCTCGCACACTGGATTTTGGCCTCAACGTGAAGCTGTTCTGGGAAAAGTTTGTTCCTGTGGACTGTCCCCCTGCCTTTTTCCCTCTGGCAGCCATCTGCTGCAGGCTGGAGCCGGAGAGCAGGTCAGTCTCGGGGGGGGGCGCCTCCTTCTCTGCCACGGCCCATTTCGGTGCTGAGAGCAAGCAGCTCGGGGGAGGGTGGTGGCCGGCAGGGCGGCCACGTTGCTGTATGTCGCCAGTTCACCACGTGCCCCTTGTTCTCTGGTGGACTCACAGCAGAATGGGAGCTCTTGGGTCCTGGGCCTGGTTCTCTTCGGTGGCTTAAGAGGCCGGGGCAGAAACAGTCATTATCCAGGAGAAGAACGTGGCCTAGACTGGGAAGTAGGGCCAGCTCCTTTTCTGACAAATGCTTGCAATTATGTTTGGAAGCCTGCTGGTGCCTGTCCTCTGGAGGGCCGCATTCCTACTCTCTCCTCCTGCCGCATCTCTTCCTAGGCCCCCGTTTTCCAAACTGGAGGATTCTTTTGAAGCCCTTTCTTTGTACCTGGGGGAACTGGGCATCCCTCTCCCTTCTGAACTGGAGGAACTGGACCACAGTGTGAGTGTGCAGTTTGGCCTGATTCGGGACAAGCTGTCGGGCAATCTCACATAGTCCCCCCACGCCCACCACTCCGCCATCGCTGCGCATCTCTCCACGGATTGTCCTGGTGGCAGCAGAAAGAACTCCATTCCAGCCCTTTGGAGGGGACAGGAAGGTGCCTCCTGCCTCCAACACCTTCACCTCCCGTGGATTGTGGCACTTCCTGAAAGCATCGCCCCGTCCTCCATGCTACTTGCTTCTTAATACAGATGCTCTAGCTTTGGAAACACAATTCCCAAGAGTCTGGGTGTGGGCCTGCCTTCCAACTCAATACACTACAGGTTGTGAAGCCGCCTGGTTGTGCTCACATAGCAGAGACAGAGCCTCGATGCAACCTTGGGGTTGCCTTTGACTGCGGCTCCCTGCTAGACCAAGCAATCGGAGGGCAGCCTCAACTCCCTGCACAGACCTCTACAGATGGGACTGTTGAAGTTTGCAGAGTTTGTCTCACAAGGACAGCTGTAAACAACGATCTCTGGCCAAAGAAATGTTCATGCACTACACGGATAGGACATGGTATTTCATGTCTACCTTGTTGGACGAAGCAGCTGTGGCGCACATGTCACAGGGCCATAGGCTTGGGGTGGGGGCTGGCTTCCACTTAGGAGATCAGCAGCTTCCCCATTTGGGGGAGGGGTTGGTTCATTGTGGGATAGTTGAGATGGATCCCTGGAAGTAAGTGCTTATACTCAAACTATATGTAGCTGACCAGGAGTAGAGTTATCAACTTGGGCCACAGATCTGAAAGACTGGCACATTATAGTCACTACCTCTGTCCTCCATTTCAGGCCTCTCCCCTTTCAGAGAAAGAAACACTTGGCTTGGGGCCGTCGTGCCCCACATTCTTCTGGACGTAGAGAGGAAGCTGCGCTGGTTGCATCTCTCCCCTCTGCAAAATATATTAAGTGCTACTTAAGGGTTGGCAACATATGGACCACCAGATATTGAGCAACTCCCAGCAGCTGTGGCCACAAGTCCAAGAGTGAAGAATGCTGGGAGTTGTAGTTTAGTGGTATCTGGAGGGTCTCCAATCCCCCTCACACTACCAAAACGCAAAATGTTGGACCCATATATGGTAGGTTTAGGCAGTTGCTCCAGATCCAATGCATTTAGACCAGATTTTTTTGTTGTTCCTAAAAAGTGTGTGTGCACGTGTGTATAAATGGGCTAGTTCCAGGAAGGAGAAACCTGGATCATGTGTTCAAGAGATTCCACACATTCCTGTAATTGCACAGCAAATTTTTGTCTAAATTAAAAGCAATAAAGTTTGTTTTACAAAGCTGAAAATCGATGGCAGTTGTTGAAGCAAAGTTAGAAGCTGGCCACCCGAGGGCGTGTTGGTGGGTCTGGTCCATTTCCCACTCTCGGGTGAGAGTTCCTGCACTGTAAAGAACAAGAGCACCCAACTCCTGTGGTGCAGCTGCAAGGCAGCGGGTGAGTCTGCAGCTGGGCTGGCAATGCCTGTGCTGGGCGAGCCCACTCGCCCAAGAGGAAAGCTGCTTTTAAGTGGGTCTAACATCTCTCACTCCTAAAAGCTGTCCACCCGTGTTCCCTTTTGACTCCACACCAATTCTCAAGGGGAGAAAATAGAACTGCTCCTGACCAGGAAACCTAGGTGGCTGGGCCAGGGGGTGTTCTTTGGTGACTTTTTAAGGACTCGAGTCTGCCGGAACTTCAGAAGCATTGGGGGAGAGACTTGGGGGGCCTGGGCAGTTGGAGCAAATGCCAACCCTTTTGATGGGGGGGGGAGGTCTGGGCCTGGGTGAATAATGGCAGAACTGAGAGCAGCCTGGCAGTTGGAGAGCGAAGGGAGGAGGTGTGCCCCTGAGATGCAGCACGGTGAATCCCACCAAATACGACACTACTTACAACCTGAATAGTTTTATTTTGTATGCATGAGGTATTTAAAACACTTACAAATAAATGGTATTCAAAGGCATTTAAAACATTTTTAAAAACCTCTAACCTGCATTAACAGAACTTGTAAGAAATCTCCACTTTTGGCATCCGAGTCCCAGTTCCCTCCCTCAAGGGATAAAAGGTTAAAAAAAACAGCACGGCTGGCGTTGTTTCCTTGCTGGCATGAGGCACGCCATTTTAGCCCTCCCCAAAGCCCTTCTGGGTGTGATCTCCGTCGCCAGCCCTTGCCTTCGGCCCTGCCCTCCCTGGCCACCTTCCACCCCAGGGAGCAGGCAGACTTGGGATTGATTTCTGGAGGGCTGGCAGTGCCACTGCTGCCGCGTCAATCCCTTTCTTGGGAAATGCCCCTCTGCTGGAAGCCCATTAAAAGCGGCTGGGACTGGCTGCAAGCCCTCTGGGCTATACGCCTCTGTGCCTGCTGAACTCAGATGCGGTTTGGGGCCTGGCGAGGGGAGAAAGGGGCGCCAATCTCTGCAGCTGCTTCTCTTCCTCCTTGGGGTGCCAAAGCATTTAGGTCGTACCAGAATTTGCCCCTTGCCCCGGGCCCTCCAAGACAGGCCTGCATGAGAACCCACAGAGCGGAAGAGACTCTACTCGAGAGCTTGGCCCACCCCACCTGGGAGCATTAGGGGGCCCTCAAGACGGTGATTGCGAAGGAACTTGGAACCCACCCATGGCTGAAGGAAAACGCTGTCGGGCTGCAGCCAAATTGCTCGTGCAGCTTTTTCAGCAGCATCAGTGTGCACAAGATCAAATCCTTGCAAACACTCTCTTTTTTCAATAAAGCTCCCCACTCTTGCATTACCCTGCTCAAGGAATTTGCAGGCCCCACGACTGAAGAAAACGATTCCTCTAACAGAGGCAAAAGTCAGTCTGGGTCCCTTGTACCAGATGGACCTTCCACATAGTGGCCACTGGCTCGAGTGGCTGCCACGCTGGTCTTTCTGCTCCAATGAGCTAGCTGTGATCCATATGGCGTTTTGTCTGTCCCGGTGGCCTGCCTTCAAGTGGAAAAGCAAAATACAAATGGATTCTCGGGTTAAATGGAGAGGCAAAGAGGGGTCCACCTCAGAGGTCCCGCGGGGCGTCTCTTCCTCAAGCCCCCGGAGTGCCTGCCTGGCCCATGAGAGGAGTGTCCCCGCCCTGCGTTTCCTCCACTGGAGTCGGATTGGCGTGCACCACAATGACGTTCTCCTCCACAAGCTCGCAGGCTGGGTTGCTGAAAGCCGAGAGGGGCAGAGTAATCCGCTGCATTTCACGCTCAGTGGCTTTCCGCTCCCGCCGCTCTTTCAGATCTTTACCCCTGAAAGAGAGCAAACAGATGGGCTCGTTTGTGTGTGCGCGTACCTACAACTTACGCAGGTGTTGTTCTTCCCCAAGCCAAGGCAGGAAACCCTAACCGCCTCACGGCACTGGCGCCCCAAGCTGCTTGCTCCGGCCCAGAGCCACGTGAGATCCCACCGCGTCTCTACCACGGGCCATGGAGCAGGTGGCTTTTGCCCTCTACGGCCACTGGAGAGGCGGCTACGGCCACTGCTAAGGCCACACGCTGGCCTGGAAACGCTTTTCTCTACTCCACAAAGGCCATTCTAGGATCGCCTCCACCAGCTCATGGAACCTAAAATGCTTCAGGCAACACTCTTAGCTACATGAAGAATGAGAAGCAAAAAGAGGCCCATCTTTTGTAGGAATAAGGCAGGAACAGCTCCAAAAAATTCAGTCCTGCGTGGTCAATGGGGGATGCCCACAACCCACTGAATTTAATGGAAAACGAGTTTTGATTTGCTCATTTGCTCAACTGTAGTAGTTGCCTCTCCCCCCCCCTCCCCCACTGTGGTGCCCTTCACAGCCCCCCCCCCCCCAATTTGGAGATCCCTCTCCAGGACAGACTTGCTGGACGCATTTCAAATTCTGAGAGCACGTTGTAGGTGCGCTCACAAAATGGCTGCGGGGCAGTGGACGGCTTGCCGATCTCCAAAAGTTCTGTCAGAAGTGCAGAGCGGAGCAGAGCAGAGCAGAGCAGAGCAGAGCGACACACGCCCCCGGGCTAAGAAAGGCCTAAAGCAAGCAGGCGAAGCACAAGCTGCATCTTCTACCCCAGCAGAACGGATGAAGCTCAGGAGCAAACCTCTCGGTTGAGCATTAAGAACAGGACAGAGGCGGGTTTGAGCCCCAAATGCAAAACCGTAAAGCACACAAGGAAACTGTGTTACAAAAGGTGCGTCAGTGCGTGCACGGGCAAACAGACCACTAAGACAGGAAAGGAGACACGCACACGCACACCGCAACCCTGCTGCCTCGCTTCCTTTCTGGACAGGAGGGATGAGGCTGGGATTCGCTGGAACCCAAAGGGGACACTGAGGCTGGAGCGTCCCATTTATTCCTTCTTAATTAAAA